TTGGCGGTTCCAGAGTATTAGTCGCAATACATTGTGAAATAAATGGCGCGTCGACGTCATAACCAGCAAAGTGATACCCAGGAATGCAAGAAAATGTCACATTCTGTGTGTAATTATATGGTCCTTCTACTGCCCTTAAGTTGAATTTATCAGAAGGCAAATCACACAATATTGGAATGCAACTAGGTAAACTCTGGTTAAAAGTACCATCGGCTTGGCAAGTAAGGTTTTTTACCTTTAACGTGTCGGTGAATTGGAAGCCAGTATCGCATGTATATGTGACAGTTTGTCCTTCAAAGGTAACGGAACGCTGTGTTACCTGTCTCAGGTGATCACTTGCAGGGAGGACACAAGTTCCTGGAAGTGGAGTAATTTTTTTATATCTTCATTTCACTTGAGTTTATTCAAAGCCTACAAACACCGACAATAATTATGCCCAGAAGCATAACCGTAATAAGGACCAACGTGCAGTCGACTATTTCATTTCGCATTATTAATCTGTTCTTATTTTTGAAACTTTGATGTCTTTTTGATATCAGACTTACTGTTGCATGTTTTTCTCTCCCCTTCAAACGTTCCCCTAGGGCTGCAAGTCAGTGTAAAACTGGAACCAGAACCATCGCTGAGTTGATACCCCCTGTTACAAGTATAGGTAATATTGTTTCCAAAACTGTAACCTCCAGGTACCGGAGAGGAAGCAGCATTGAGAATAGTCGGGGCATTGCATTTCACATCTAAAAATAACGTGTATGTCTGTAAAGAGATCCATCAGTCGCAACGATGATCGCTAGGTTGCACAAAGAACCTTATATATGTTGATGATTTGCACGTACACAAGTTCATGATAAATGCAATAGCGATATCTTTCAGGGGCGGATCCAGGATTATTTGAAGGAGGGTTCCGCGGATGCGAAGCCGATACCCCCCTCCCCTTGGCGTGTGGTTCGGGGCACGCTGAAGGGCCCCGAAAATATTTGGTATTTTAGATTCCATTTGGTACAGTTTATAACTATGATTCAGCTAGTCAAAATTCTAATTTCAAGAGGGGACCATTCGTATGCTCAATGTGTATGCTGTTTAATTTTGAAACATTTGTAAAGGTTTTTATAACTAGTATGCATCACAATTTTCTATCTAAGGCGAAGCATTTTCAGACACATATTTATGTAGCCGATACAATAAACTACATGGACGCACCTTTTGTACAAGCGTTGCTTGGATTCGATCAAAATTATGTAGTGTGACAAATAACAATGAAAACCTAAGTCCCACTTACAACCAAGACACTGGGGACCAGTACGTCCCAGGTTACACACACACTGCTCTGAAGACACCGGTGTTTCCGAGGTGTATGTTCTCACACACGTTCCTCCCGTAGAGCAGGGACAGTTGTAGGCTGGATTATCTGCATAGGAAACAAACCGTACCTTTGGTTACTTGTTTTGTAATACAGGAAGCTGCTGGATAATAAACGAGTATTTGTGATTACGCAAGTGGCAAATTTCTGAATGGTGTTGGGTATGATTCATATTTATTGACCGTATTCTATGACACACCGTTTTTACTTCAATACTTTATTTTATTTTACTTAGGGCTCCTATTCACCTTCGTGAGATAATATGCAAAAAGAAAAATCAATAAAAAAATAGATAAATATCTAATTAAAAAATGGTGAACAAAAATTCATTTCGATTTGCATCTTACCAGGACATTGTTTCATTTGATAGTGACGAACATTGCTTTCAAATCTTAATCCACTGCACGATGAAGACGTTTTATGGAACCAACAACTAATCCCATTCCAGTCAACTGCCTCACATGCTGGATCATCGTTACAGGCCGGTAAACAGCGGGATAATGGCCAATAACCCTGCCATTCGCCTCCGCTGATGCTTATATTTTCATATAGATACAACACGTACTCTGGCACTGAAAGGTTTTCAGAATTTTAATTAAAATATAATAACTTTGTATGAGGTATTAGTCAGTTGTCCTCACTTTTTCTACAGAAATAACGAGGTGCGCATATTAAGGCCGTTTATAGACCTCTATATTGAAAAAGAAAGTATCTATATTTTTAAATTGAACTTAAAAGTTCAATGCAACCGAGTCACATTCTTGTGTTCAGTATGCCTGTCTATCGACCAACCACTCCCCCTGTCAAACATACATGTAGTTACAGAATGATATAACTGGCTGTATCCCGTAGCACGTGGCCAAATCAAAGGGGACATTGGGTATATACAAACTTCTTAAGATCCATTTTATCCAGGAAGAGTTTGGCAAGCGGATCGATGCAAATCTTCCTTTGACCCTACTCCTAGTGAAATCCTGATTAGAACAGTGTACGGATAAATAGTTAACAATGTTTAGAGATTAACTTTCTTTTCAAAAATTAATTTTATTTCATAATTTATACAATGTACTGTGAAAAAATGCCCCATCGTATTCAAGAAAATTATTTGAGAAAGCCTTTGTTTTTTATTCAATAGTAATATCCAGCAAAATAATAAAGGGAATACTCACGTCCACATACTGGTGGTTCCCTATCAAACACATCCTCTCTGTCAGTACAGGTGATGGTAAAAGACCCGTATATATGGATGTATGGAGGAGTTACACACGTGTAGGTAACACTTTGGTGACTGTTAACACGGACAGCAGTTGGAGTTCGACTTGAATGAGGAACGTCTGGCACGACACAACCTATAATACAAAAAGGTAAATAATTGGTTTTTAATTTTTAATTTTTCACTCTTTGAAAATGTAAGATATATGCCAACGTAGACTATTTTTCTTTTCTTTCAAATTCAGATCCGAAGGCAGAAGTTGAATAACCCTGTAAAGGTAATTTTTAAAGCTTTCAATGTTAAAAAACCTTTACTGAGTGTGCAAAAACATGTTAAAGGTTGATATCATGTGAACTATTTGTGAGCAAGATAAACAAATTCAACAATGTTATTCTAGCGACATGTTTTCTGCGTATATATACAACACCTTCCTCAAAAGTATATGCCCGGGTATCACCAATGTTCGGTGGATCGAATAAGTCAGATAAGTAAAATCAACAATTACATACATAGCGTACTATAAATCTGCTTAAATGTGTTTATTAACGAGACCAGAAATTCTAGATAAGACCGGTTTCTAGTCCGACTTAACATAGCAAATTCCATGCACAATAATTACAACAAACTTTTGGACTTTTGAAATAAGTAAACACATAAACTACACAGACATGATCCAGTATTTTGCCTTTGTCAAAGGGGGCGGGAACATGAATATAATTGCTCCTCTTACAATTGCTAAAATTCATAAATCAGTAGAGAATGATGGTTTTATTGTAAAAGGGAAATGTGTTTGGTATTGACTCAAGTCTGTCTTTTCATTTATTCATTTGTTTGGGGGATGGAGGGAGAGAAGCTAAAGTGGGGTAGGATGCATGGACCTCCTGTATTTCAAAACTCGACCCACTTACCTGCGTCGATTTCTTGCCATCCACGAATTAAACAAAATATCAGAAAAGATTTTAAAATATTCGACAGTCCTTTCATTGTCTCGATGTCCTAGCTCTGAAATAAATGTTAACCAAATGAAATAAAAGGTATGTTGATATTTTAAACAAAGGTCTGTGAGTGAATAATCTCACCATTGAGGGTGACTCATTATCAACTAGCAATGTCTTCTAAAATGAGGGTTTAATGTAATAAACAAAGCATCCCGTATTTAAAGCACGTTACAAAAAAGCAAAAAAAAAAAAAAAAAAAAAAAGAAAAGAAAAATCACACTGATGTGTAAAAAACTTTCGGAACAACCCCTGACAATTGAAAAAAAAAAAACGGATTCAGATGTGGTCTTGAAGAAAAGCTCATGTGTGACTTCCTAACTGTCGACAACAGTAACTGTATGCATAAATGTGATAATGGAAGTATCTCTGACAGGGCTGGAAAATTTACAAAATTCAGTTCATGGTGAAAAGAAGGCCAAATGTCAAATCCAAGGTCACAGTCAGATTGCAAATATATGACTTCCTAGTCAAGTTCAATAGTAACTATAAGCATATCAGTGACAGTGCTGGGGTAAGAAGGGTCGTAAAATTGCCACCCTTGCTCAACATTGAGCATTACGAAATAGCGGAGCTCCTAAACCATTTTAATGGACAACGCCTTTACATCGGTCGCACACTTGTTTGGATACAATGTGCCCCTTCGTGGGAAAATTGATGTAATATGATCAAAACTGCAACCTGTAGAATGCTAACAGACAAACTTAAAAACGAACAGACATACTGACAGAGATACTGTTGAAATCGAAATTTTCAAAAGTGACAAATTAAAAAATAAGATTGAATAAATAATTATATATTTTTATAAACTAACAGGTTTTTTCTTCTAAGATCGATGAAAAAATTCCAACTTTATAATTGAACCAACAAGGAAGCAATTAATCCCAGGCACTACAGCATGTATTAGCATTACTATCTGCGTGGTGTAACTGATTAACTTTGCTCGTTGAGTAAGTTCTGATAAGGTAGCACGCCTTTTTTGTTATCTACTTTTTGGCTAGCCACTAGTACATGTAGGCCTACCATCCGTATAAATATGTGGTGTTCCGAAGGACTGTTCACCCTCTACGACCATTTGTTTTCAACCCCACCACTGCCAAGACATTGAGTGACTTACCTGTGCTGGCATGTTTTAAAAAACTGAAAATTTGATAGCCTGTCTATGACGTATGAAAGTCACCTAAACTGCCCTCCCTGCTCACTCGACACAGTCCGTTGATTAACTTCCAGGTAAAATGTAAGGAGCAAATCGTGAAAGGGCGTAAAAAATCTATATCGTAGGTACACATTAGGTCATATTAAAATGACTGAGGTCCGGACTGCTTACTGCTTAACGTGAAAAAGGGTCCAAGACATAACGCTCACTGTGAAAAGGCTTTACTTAATAAGCCCAGGTTGTACCTCTCCACCACCACCCGGCTTTTATATGTCGTGTAAATAAGATCTCTTACCAGAGAAGACCAATCAAATCGTTGTGTCGCCTTTCTGCCACAACTGACTGTGGTGTCAAGAAGTCCACAACTTCTTGGTGGCGTGAAGCAAGAAAGTGACAAATTGTAATCATGCTGTATTCTCATTGTTTAAATTGCATACGCTGTAGGCCTTATAACGAAATTAAGACTTGAGAAAAATACGGCCCAGGCTCTCTACTGTGATTATTCGTGTATCATAGATATTTTTGTCATTGAAAGAATCCTGTACGTAGAACATGTCGCTTACTGTACAAAGCATTTACACTTACCTGCCTTGGTGCTCTTACACTATCAAAGACTCGATTCAATCGTCACCAATGAACATCAATTTTTCGGAAAATCATGGCTTTTCTGCTACATACATGTACTGATTATAGCACTTGTACATGAAACAGGCATTATACAAACCCTAATTTTTCTATAGCCAAATTTCTCTCTGTTGAATGACCTTAAAAAGACAATTAAGGCTTGTCAAAGTGTGGCGAGGCCTAGGTGCGTATCTGCGGAGTTTTGTGAACAAGGAAGTGACCCATTTTATATTTTACACGACGCACGGTGTAGCTCCGTGTTAACAACAAAGCTGCTAAGGGGGAAAGAAAAACATGAACAACAATGGGACCAACCTCTGTTGCCACTGCCCTGTAATATTTTACTGGTACTGTTGAAGACACTGCAATGTTATTTGTTCAGACTGCAGAAGTTGATAATTAAGTTAAACTTGTAATGTAACAGCTTATGGTTCAGTACATTTCCCAAACTTGCAGGCAGAGCACACGTTGTCTTCATACTTTTCGTTGCGTAAGGCGTTATCTCTTTTGTCTTTATTTGTACTATTTAATTGAATACTCTAGGTCTCAGATGAAATGGCAATCAACAGCAGAACTACAGTGTATTTTATTGCCTAAGTACGTTTATCTTATCGCATGGTGGCCGTGAATCGAGGTCACATTGAAATAAAAATGAAATGGTGATATTCTTCCTGATTTAGGTGACTCCGCACAATATCGCCCTATAGGAAGTAGCTAATGTTATCAAGCCTCTATTAGATGCTCCACAAGACTCTGGCTACTGTAACGCGAGTGACAGTTTCAGACAGTTTCATAGTAAGGTAAGTTTACACACGCATTTGGGAACCGGGAATACGACTTGTAAAACGTCACTGGATTGCACGTAAATATATATATAATAATGTTAGGTACATCAAAATTGGGGGGGGGGGGGGTCATTTTGTTTTTACTAAAGCATATCTTGTATAGGCCTATTCTTATAAACTCAATGGACTTCAATAGGAAAATGTTTTTATACATTCGAGGGCTAGGTCAGGGAAGGCCCCCCCTGACCTCCCCGAAATGTGCCCATTTTGCACAGGTAACTTCAAATGGTGTTCTGGTTATCTCGACATTTGGGATAATATATCAATTAGCCTTAGAAATGGGATTCATATTTGATACTGCACAGGAACAAATTCTATTAACACATCATCATTTGGTGCCATCAACCCTCAGCAGGTTGGTTGTCCTGGTTCGAACGAATTTTCGTCTAGTAACACATGTGTACATTTATGTCACACTCATGCAAACTAACCTCATTTTAGGACAAGAGTGACTACAATGAAGGAATTGTTACAACTGTATGTATTTTTCTGTATATACAGTTCGGTCATTGACCTACGTGGCGCTGACACAGGTAAGTTGTTTCTGGTCACACTTAAAGTAGTTTTAACATCAAAAGAAAAGAGGATTAATGTGTATATATCCATAAAATGCTTTAACTGCAAATAAAATCATGTGCAAAATTATAATTGTTATTGTAGGGAGCTTTTGTAGGGAACCAAATACCTTTGTGTGTACTCGTGTAAAGTTGGTTACATACATGAAATTTTCTTTTAGAAACACGAGACTATTAACAAATAAGGCACCTGTTCATGCAAAGAAAAATGGTTTGACCACTTGGGTATTTCGTACTATAGGATGTGTCGTGCCAGACGTTCCTCATTCAAGTAGAACTCCAACTTCTGCCCGTGTAAACAGTCACCAAAGTGTTACCTACACGTGTGTTACTCCTCCATATATCCATATATACGGTTCTCATACAACCACGTGTACTGACAGAGAGGATGTGTTTGATAAGGAACCACCAGTATGTGGACGTGAGTATTTTTGTCTCTGCGGATTACTTTCTTCCTTTTTTGTTGCAGATTACAATTGAATAAAAACATGATCTTTCTTTATCCATTTTCCTGAACTCAGTGCGACCATGGAAGTACATTTACTTCCACGATGGGACACGTTTTATCTAAATTATTAAACAGAAACATTTATATTTTATAACATGAGAGTATATTCGTTCCCCGCACAAAAGTTAAAGCAATATTGTACAACGATGTATTCAACCTCATACCTTTTTTTCACTCCTGTTGAATAGAAACATTTGCTCAAATTATTTTTCTCAAACAATGTTGACTTCGATGTGACATATTCCATTGCTACTTACTTGTATTTACTAATGAGAATATAATCGTCCTTAGCACTACTTTGAGGATTTATCATAATCACCGTGTTGATCTTGTATAAGAAATAGATAAATTTCTTTGAAACGCATATAAAATGATCAACAATATGTATGAAAGTGGCCAAGCTTTCGGTTTGTGTGCCTTCTGCAAAGGCACCAAAATAAGTATACCGGGTGTATGCATGTATAAACAAATAAACAACAAGGCTACATAACGGTATATCTGTACATATGATCTCATTTTGTTATTTTGTATTAAGCATATATGGTATTTTGGGAGTCGCAGGTGTAACTTCCGTTCGGGTTCAGTGCCTTGCCCTCCTGGGGTGATGATAGGGGTGTACATTTGTGTCCATCTTCAATATCCATAAAGCCTACGTCAGGTATCCTAGTAGATAAGTGTTTACTTATTCTTACTTTGGTCCCTGAAGAAGGCAAGCCGAAATTTCGGACACTTTTTATCCTTCATAGTTCATCATTATATTAGTAGATGTGTTTCAGTGTAATTTACATATGTGTACAACTTTAAAGGCAATATACGTTCGCCGGTGTATTCGTTTATTTTATTAACGTGGGCATCGGTTTGGTAGAAAAACATGCAAACATGCATCGGTCCGCTTGAAACTGACTCGCAATTCAGGAATTATTGTACATCCAGAGGATTTAACATATTTATGCTCTTTTTGATTTTCCTACTTAAAATGGAATATTACCATTTTATATCATCCAGTTACGATGTCGAACTAGGGAGAGGTTGACCAGTACCAAGGCTATTCTGACCACAAGGATGCAAATTCGAATTTCCATACGGTTGCATTGAATTTGTAATAAACATTATCTCAAAGTGGTAAAACTCTTCATTTTCGCGGGAAAAGTACCGAATTTTTCTGGGATAAACGACAGTTTCCCGTACTAACCAATGGTTAAGATATACGTTCCAACATCCAAAACAGTCTATTGTTTTTATTTTTAAGTGTGATTTTTTGGGAAAAATTTAAAAGAGATTTTTACGGACGGTAGCCACCTGTAAGGGTCCACGTGGTCCGATGACAAGCACAGATCTCAGAATAATAGACATAACCACCGTTTTGGTCGTAAAATAATATTTATTATATTTCTATGTGTTGTTATCAAAATATTTTGGAATTTTGAATTTTATATGAAGAGTTTTTTTGTGTGGTGAACAGCATTACATACGGAGTATCATTTCTGAAGTATATAAGTATTTCATTTCAGTACCAGAGTACGTGTTGTATGTGTACGAGAAAAGGGCCGTCGCTGGAGCCTCGTGGAAGAGTTATAAACCATTTTCCCGCTGTTTACAGGCCTGTAACGATGACCCAACATGTGAGGCAGTTGACTGGGATGGGTGGTGTTGGTTCCACTACAGTTCTACTTCGTGCAGTGACCTTACCTTTGGCAATAATCTGCGTCACTATCAATTGAAACAGTGTCCTGGTAAGATGCAATATGAAGCGATTTATTTTTTATTTTTTAATTTTGCTTTGTGCTTTCTATCTTATTGTTGAAGATGAATAAGAGATTTAAGTAAAGCAAGACATTATGTTGGGAAAGTAAAAATAGAATACGGATACGAATACGAGTACCTAAAAGAGAGTAGAGTACGAATGAAATATGCACAATACCAGTCAAAAATTAGCTACTAACGTGATCACAAATAATCTTTAGTTATCCAGTGTCCTGGTAAGATGCAAGTTGAAACAATTTCACGTTAAGGTTTGTTCACGAACCATTTATTTGTTTGTGTTTAAATCATTGTGGATGGTCACAAGATGGGTATTAATTAGTAACATTAGACACAATATCCAAAACTGAAATGTATTATTGTAGTAGCACTGGCAGTGCCATGGCTATGGTGTGTCACAGCACCTTTCAGAAATTAGCTTCTTAAAAATATTTACCTCAACGTATTTATCAACAATATTGCAAACGGCACGATTTCTTCACCATCAGGTAACCCCGCCTACAACTGCCCCTGCTCTACAGGAGGAACATGTGTGAGAACATACACCTCAAGGACACAGATATCTTCAGAGGAGTGTGTGTGTAACCTGGGACGTACCGGTGACCAGTGTTCTGATTGTAAGTGAAACCTTGATTTCTACTGTTTGTAGTCCACCTACATAATTTAGACCCGAGATTCAAGTGTCACCTATACAATGTACAAATCTATAGATAATTTCACCGGCTAGATAAATATGAAATAACTAACCAAAAAAGTATATATGTTGTAGTTCATTAATGGAAATGTGATGCAAGCGTTTATGAAAAGCCTTGTATTAATGTTTCAAAATTAACCTGAGTAGGATAGAAAACCGCCTCAAAGAAATCGCTTTAACATCTAAAAATAGAACACATAAAATTTTATTTAATTCTTTCCAAAAATTTGCTGAACTTAAACTTCAGTGTGTACGATAATTCACCAAAGATTCAGTTATATTGGTTGCTTTGCATAAAATTTCGTGTTCTTTCCAATATATCCTCCAAATGGCCTCCGCAGGGTTGGAGGCACACTTTGCGCGCAAAATTGCCAGTACATGTATTCATGTATTAGAACGCCTTCCTCATGGGGATTTCCCTGATTTTACCTGTGAATGTCGCCTTCAGTTCACCAATCGGTTGAAGTATATTCTAGTACACACCATCCCTGAGATACACCCAGAGATACAAAATTGGGGGTTCAAGTACATGTATAGTGAATGTGCTGCCCACTCCAACGTCACGCTCCCTGGTTCAAAATGTCAAACAGTGGATATGGAGCGCTATGTGGCAGTGGTGAGGTAAACTTTGAAATTATTGGGACGACGCTGAGGGATAGATGGAAATGGATAGCGGTTCCAGCAAGACCCTCCCACTACATTGAATGTCTCCCTAGCCTGGCTGAAAGAGGGATTTCAGGAGAGACTGATCAGCAGGTGTGACGTTGAGTGGGCGCTGCATTCACTTTTACTTTTAAACATGTTTTATTTAAAGAACATCACTTAGTAAGTTTCATTGGGAAGGTACGTGGCCAGATTTTCATTATCGTTACGATTTATTTTCTTTAGATGTGGTATGCACTGTCCCAACTTTTCCTAATGCGTCTCCTCCTTCGGCAAATGCAGTATACAGATTTGGAAGCACTATTACCTATACTTGCAACAGTGGATATCAACTCAGCAATGGTTCTGGTTCCAATTTCACACTGACTTGCAGTCCTAGAGGAACGTTTGAAGGGGAGAGAAAAACGTGCATCAGTAAGTTTGATATCAAAAAGACATCAAAATAGAAAACAAAGAAAATAATTATTTAGAACTGAAATATGTTCACCTAACGCTTATGCCTTTATTCCTGTTGTTATTATTGGGCTTTTTATTAACTTGAAAAGATATATATATATATATATATATATATATATATATATATATATATATATATTGAAAAGACTTGCCTTACTTCCAGGAACATGTGATATCCTTCCTGTAGGTGATCACCTGAGACAGATAACACAGCGTTCCGTTACCTTTGAGGGACAAACTGTCACATATACATGCAACACTGGCTTCCAATTCAACGACACGTCAAAGGTTAAGCACCTTACTTGCCAATCCGATGGTACATTTGACCAGAGTTTGCCTAGCTGTGTTCTCATATCGTGTGTTTTTCCTTCCAATAGATTCCATTTGAAATTGGCAGAGGAAGGACCGTATATCTACGGCCAGAATGTGACGTTTTCTTGCATTCCTGGATATCATTTTTCTGGATATGACGTCAACGCGTCGTGTAGGTCACAATGTATTTCGACTGATACTCTGGAACCACCTATACCTGACTGCACCAGAAGACCTTGTGCCTTGCCTGATTTAGATGATAGCGTGACGACAAACAGAAGTACTGAACTATACTTTATGGACCTAGTTTTGTTTAGCTGCAGACAGGGGTTGTATTTTGTAGACGGTGCTGCGACAAAAAACCTGAAGTGCGATGAAACAGGAGGATTTGGGCATGATTCTCTCGTTTGTGGTGGTACGTTCTTCAAACAATATCCGAAAGTTGTTAACAGTGTTGTATGTCCAATACCGTTATGCATGTCTACCTACTGCATGGCAATGTGTACAGCGTATTCACAATACATTAAATATACGGAGACGTTAGCCCTTTTACATACAATTGGAAATTTAAGCACTTCTTTTATTTATCGCCGTTGTGCATTCCTTCTAAGGCCATTTGGAAATTCACAATATATGATTTTGTCTTCGTATTCAATATTCCTTATTTTTCCTCATTTTTATCATATCATTTTTATCATTTTTATCATATTAAATGCACTGGTTTCTATCTCCATTACGACATTTACTCAAACAGAGAAACGGTATAAATGTGTTTCATAGAAAGTAATTTGACATGTATTAATGTAATTTTTTTTTTTTTTTTTTTTTTTTTTTTTTTTTTTTTTTGTGATTAAGGGGGACATGCAAAAATCTTAAGGAAAACGGAAAGTCTATCAATTTCTTGTCTAACATCTATCGTGTTCAAGTAAAGGACTTTTACGTACGAGCATCTTGAAAAACAATTTGGGGAAAATGAAAAACTTGGGCATAAAATTTCAGAACTTAATGTTTGAATTATCATGAAACAAAAGATGAAATTAATATGAATGATAAGTAAGGCAATTTTTTGTAAAAAAAAAAAAATAAACGGAAATTGTGGGCCACACAATTTTATAGGAGAATAATTATTTTGTATTAATACAACAAAAGCCTTAAACTGTCCGCCGTAATTAAAAAAATTATTAATTCTTTTCAGTTATTCAAAGGAAAGAAGTCACATCAGAAGCAATGACAGGTAATGATAGGAGAATGGTGATTAAGTTATTGGGACGTTATGTGTTCAGTAAAAGAACAAAGCCAAATGCACTTACATGAATGGAATACAGAACAAATAACTAACTGACATGTAATATTTAATGAAAACAAACAAAATTTTCATGAATCCATCTGTAATGTTTATTTGGTCTCTCTAATATTTGTTAGGACAAGTACCTGTGGCTGTCGCCATCAGTGGCTGGATATCTACAGCTGTGGTTCTGATCTTGGTGGGAGTCGTTATCGTTGTCATAAAAAGGTCAGTTGGACACAGTAATAGTTTTTTTTTTTTTTTTTTTTTTTTGACAACTGGGAATTGCAATTAACCGTGTACTATCTAAAATGGGATTTCAACGATTTTATTGAAAATATTGCTTGGAATATTAAGGATATTGTATTACACAAATAACAGTGTATATCCAAAATTCTAAAATATAAAGCTTAAGATCAGAGTGCAAGACATTTTTGTAATTACAAATAAACAGATTATGTTTAATGAAATATATCTAGAATTTATTCTTAGCTAAGGATGATCTTATTAAAGTATACATGATATTATGTTTTACAGTTCTTTAACGTTTTTGAGTAATAATTAAGAATTTTAATTGTTGAATTTCATTTTAATTTAGAAGGGGGAATCCTATTCCTCAGCCGTTTGCTGACACTTATCACAGCGACACCCCTGGCTTGAACCAAAACAGTCTGAGTCCGTCAAACAGTGCTGATAGGGAGGACGAGTATATGTCACTGGAGGATAAAACGATGTCAACAGTTAGCCGCGTGGCTGAGTATGTTAACGTTAATGACAGCGATTATACTGCTCTTGGGATGCCAGCAAACGAAAGTAATCAACGACAACCAAAAGCCGCTGGCATATATCAAAACGAAATGTAACTTGTTCAAGCTCCTGTGCGGAATGATAAGGGACTAAACTGCGTAACATCATACTTAATTAACTGTGAAATTCAAGGCATAACACAGAGCTTTCAGAGGGTCCCCGTGGCACAGGAACAAGTGTCATGTACCGGAGAGGCCCCCGCATTAGATAGGTTCTAGCCCACTGAATTGTATATGTATAGGTTAGCCCCGCCCTTTATTCTGACCCACTTACGCCACGCTCACCTTAACCTATACCTATATTATTATGAAGGGTGAATTCTCTTTTACGCGGACCCTCAGTTTTGTCACAGGGTTACAAGTGGGACAAACCGAACATTGCTTTGAAGCATTATTCTATTTTTGCAGACGACTTATTTGCGGAAGCATTTTCAGTTGATTATGTTTCCACTGTTGGGTCCATTTTAACGAATTCAAATGTTTTTGGTTAAATCGAGTTGTACCGGTACGTGATTGTTGAAGTTAAAATGTTTTTCAATAACTTTCAATCTTCAAAAGTGCACGCATGTAAATTTTTTTACTGTTAGGGTGAGTAAAGCAGATGATAGAAAATTTGTCACAGAGTATCTAATTAGTCTTAGACATGTCTTCTTCCACTAACAGTCAAATTGCACTCATGTAACATAAAAGTTTCACGTTTTGCATTATAATTTTTTGTAAGAAAATATGCCACTATATTTAAATTCATTAGTTATTTATAATGTTTTATGTTATTAACAGATCATGTTTTGCTTTCAGCTTCCATTAGGCATAACATATATTTCGGATTTGTTGTACTATAGGCTACAGTGTATCAGTGAAAAATATCACAATGCTCTTTTCATCTGCAGTTATGGTAGTAGTGCATTTATCATAAAGACTATGGATGCGAAGCCGACCATCATCCCCTTGGTGTGGGACTCGGGCCTGTTTGAGGGCCCCGAAAAATTTTTGGTGTTTTGGAGAGCAAACACTGTCCTTTGACCCCCCCCCCCTAAATCCGCCACTGCTCAATATGCTCCTGTGGAGGCAGAGATGCGTTCATCTTACAACATAACTGATTACTTATTATTTCAAATGAAACACTTTTATATTATAATGATGTAAACATGTTTTGTTTGAATAAATTTAATGTTAACGGACAAATGAAAAAATAACAAATGATGAAATACTTAATGCTCCGATCATGTATATTTTTGTTTACTATTATTTACTTACATCGTGTATATCAGGAAAATGACTTAAAATTTTCAATTCAAATGAATGTCTGTTTTATCGGGCGTAGACTTCATGTAGAGAACAGTCTGGGTACATCTGTCCACAATTCAGTTTTCCCATCCGTGTCTCAACTAAAGCATTGCTTAGCTCAACCACACCAAGAAAATATATAATAGGGGAGGGCGATTTTTCTATTCCACGTCTCAACTAAAGCATTGCACAGACATATACTCTCTCAACCACTGTAAGACCGGGTCGCTGTAAACCTATCACTAGCAGGATTGATCTAACCACAAAGGGACTCATGCTAAATTGCATTCAGTTTAAGCGACTTAAATGTCTATCGCGCCCATTGAAGCTGCTAGGGCAGTAATTAACTTTCGTACACGCTTAAACTGAATGCGATTTAGTGAGAGTCACCTCGGAGATAGATCGATCCTGCTAGTACGATTGGGAATGGTCCCTAATTCAAATTTTGTCGACGTAGCTAATGCGCACTTCATACTCCACGAGGACTCTCGCTGAACTGATAAGTTTCTTCTAAAATCTCAAAAACAGTTTGGTATTATTAAATGGAATTACTTTTTAAATTTTGTTTATGTGTGGTGCAAAATAATTGCTACAAGACTGGTTTTGAAGTCTCAAAGTCCAACAGCTTAAAGTTGATGTACATTTAAAAAAATTAAATAGCAAAATTAAACTCAATTCAAATAAACTAACATATAAAAATATTTTTATTTTATTAGAAACAATCACTAAATGAGGATGTTTTTTACATATTTGACTCTTAAGGAAATATATGATCATGTACAATCACCCTACAACATGCTTTAGGGTAAAGAAGTTTCAATAAAGTCATCACAGCTCAGTTTTCATTACTCTCTATAAGTCAAACTTTGGACACAGACCTAAATAGGTTTACACAAGTTTACCACAAAGCTTAATTTAACCAGCGCATAAATGCTTAGGGCATTATGAAGAACATTTTGTATGGCGGAGCAATTATCCACATAACAGGCCTAGCTTTCTGTCCCAACATACTAGTAAACATTGAGATAAACAGGTTCCCAAATATAAAAAGCGCTTATTTACACACACACACACACACACACACACACACACACACGTTGCATTTATTTCGTTATCTTCTCAGGGTGCTCTAATTCTCAGGGTACTCGTACTAATATTTTATAAATATTCATTAAAAACCCGTACCTGTACAACTAAGAGAATCCATCCCAAATCCATCGGTTTCATCACACGTCAAGGTTACCTTGGTATTGCCATTCGGGAACTGAAATCCTTTCATGCATTCGAACTCAACTGGTGTCATGAAGAACAGATCCTTGCTTTCAGCCCTCGCCACCGTGTTGTTTAAATGAGGTAAAGTACATGTTCTTTTTATGCAGTCAGGTATTGGTGGTTCCATAGTATCAGTCGCAATGCATTGTGACGTAATCGCCTCTTTGACGTTATAACCAGCGAAATTATATCCAGAAATGCAAGAAAATGTCACATTCTGTTTGTAATTATATGGTCCTTTTACTGTATTCAAGTTAAATTTGCTGGCAGGAAAAGCACACGATATGGGAACACAGCTAGGCAAACTGTGGTCAAATGAACCATCGGCTTGACAAGTTAGGTTCTTTACCGTTGACGTGTCGTTGAATTGAAAGCCAGTGTCGCACGTATATGTGACAGTTTGTCCTTCAAAGGTAACGGAACGCTGTGTTACCCGTCTCAGGTGATCACTTTTAGGAAGGTCACAGGTTCCTGGAAGAGAAATATTTTTTTTCAATATCTTCATGTAGCCAAGTTTGTTCAAAGCCCAATAACACCGACAATAATTATGCCCAGAACAATTACGGAAGTATAATTGTGTTAAGGATCAACCAGCTGCAGACTGATTACTGCATCTATGATGCACAATCTGTTCTTTTTTTCACTTTGATGTCTTTTTGGTATCAGACTTACTGTTGCATGTTTTCTTCTCTCCTTCAAACTCTCCTCTGGGACCGCAAGTCAGTGTAAAACTGGAACCAGAACCATAGCTGAATCTGTACCCACTGTTACAAGTATAGGTAACATTGCTTCCAAATCTGTATACTTCAGTTGCCGGAGAGGGAGCTGCGTTAGGAATAATCAGGGCAGTGCATTCCACAACTAAAAAATAATAATTTAAAGAAATCCATTAGTCGCAACGACGATGAAAAGCCGATCACTTGGTTGCACAAAGAATTTATTAACTGACAATTCCCATTTAAACTGTCCATGTCATAAAAGTAAAGACGCTCCAACATAGTCGCCAGCTACCACATGTACCAGTATGTTGGTCATTTCTTAGAGCTTCATGTATAAGGTCTAAAATGATAATGAACCTTTGAAAATAAAGTATATTGCAAGATATCTATCATCCAATATTATATATTTAATATAATTGAAAGATGTTTATGGTAAATGAAGAAAAATTACTGAAAATTCATCGCAGTCTTAAGAGTGTTAATTTTAAACAGTTTAGAGGATTTTTTCTTTAAAAGTTTTTGTTTCAAATCTTATTAATAATTCCTTAAAATTCGTCGGAGACGTACGAGTAATAATTTTCAAACAGTTTTAAGGATTTTTTCTTTAAAAGTTTCCATCGCATTTATTTCAAGCCTTATTAATAACCCCAAATTAATTCTTTTCTTTTTTTGATGTCTTTCTGGTATCAGACTTACTGTTGCATGTTTTCCTCTCTCCTTTAAACTCTCCTCTGGGACCGCAAGTCAGTGTAAAACTGGAACCATAACCATCGCTGAGTCTATACCCATAGTTACAATTATAGGTAATATTGCCTCCAAATCTGTATACTTCAGTATCCGGAGAGGGAGCTGCGTTAGGAATATAGTCAGGGCAGTGCATTCCACAACTAAAAAAATCATAATGTAAAGAAATCCATTAGTCGCAACGACGATGAAAAGCCGATCAAAGGTTGCACAAAGAACTTCTTAATTGACAAATTCCGTTTAAATTGTACATGTCATAAAAGTTAAGACGCTCCCTCTTGGTCGCAAGCTACCACATGTACCAGTATGTTGGTCATTTCTTAGAGCTTCATGTATAAGGTCTAAAATGATAATGAACCTTTGAAAATAAAGTATATTGCCAGATATCTATCATCCGATATTATATATTTAATATAATTGAAAGATGTTTATGGTAAATGAAGAAAAATTACTGAAAATTCATCGCAGTCTTAAGAGTGTTTATTTTAAACAGTTTAGAGGATTTTTTCTTTAAAAGTTTTTGTTTCAAATCTTATTAATAATTCCTTATTAGTTCTTTTCTACTCTTGATGTCTTGTTGATATCAGTCTTACTGTTGCAAGTTTTTCTCTCCCCTTCAAAAGTTCCCCTAGGACTGCAAGTCATTGTGAAACTGGAACCTGAACCATCGCTGAGCCTATACCCCCTGTTACAAGTATAGGTAATATTGCTTCCAAATCTGTAACCTCCAAGTACCGGAGAGGGAGAAGCATTGGGAAAAGTCGGGGCCGTGCATTCCACATCTAAAAACAAAATGCATGTCTGTATCGAAATCCATCAGTCACAGTGATAATGAAAAGATGACCACTTGGTTTCACAAAGGACCTTATATATTGATGATTTCCAGTTGCGCTTACATGTATTATTTATTCATTTATTCATTTCATTTGTATAAGAAGATAAATGCAAAAGCGATATCTTCGAGGGTTGTGTTCAATTTGCATTCTCTTTAATTCTTAAACAGTCATAACGATTTTTATATAAATAGTTTGCATCACATTTTTCTTTCCAAAGCGTAACATTGTTTTGACACATATCTACGTAGCCGACGCAATAATCTACATGGACGTATCCTTGTACAGGTGATGCTTGGATTTCGATCGAATTAATACAGTGTGACAAATAACATTGAAAATCAAAGCCCCACTTACCATCAGAACACTGGTCACCGGTACGTCCCAGGTTACACACACACTCCTCTGAAGA